GAAAATGCAATTGCATTGAAAAACCTTGTAGATTGTATTATTAATATTCTTTTAGGAGACTATAACTCAGATTATTTATATAAACAAAAATTTCTAAATCCATTATTGCATATTGCTAATACAAATTTTGTTAAAATTTTATTGAAAGTAATTTAGCATTAGGTAATTTGAAATTTCAGTAATATATTAGTAATTTTAACTGTATTATTTAATGATTTTAATGCTAATGCTTTTTTTTACTTATAAATAAATAAAACTAAATAAATAATTTAAATTAAGTATATATATTTTTAAATAATAAGAATAAAGTAAAGTTAATAATAATTTTGTCAAAGTTTTATCATCATCAAATTGTAATGTTTATTATTTATCATTATATGAGATTTTACTTATAACTCTTATAAAAAATTCATATTTTTAATGTTATTTATATAAAAAATAAAATTAAAATAAGAAATGCATTATTTTTTATAATAAGTATAATTAAACAAACAAATAAATAAATAAATAAAAAGGGGGTGTGGTGACCTAGTGAAGTGGTCAGGTTGTTAACTCTTCAATTGGTAGGTTGGATGTTCAAATTCTATTAATGGTGAAAATTTAGATAATTACTTATGTAATATTTGTATTATGGCAACTGTTACTAATGATTAGATTAGGATACCTGTAATGATAGTTGCACCAGCATAACTGGCAGGTCATGGGGCATCTATGCAATGTTAGAGTTACATAGAGAAATGCAAACTGACATATTAGGCAGTGCAAACACTAGATAAGTCCTTGTAGCTATATAAATCTGTTGAAATTAGGTAACAAGAAGTTTATTTGGGAAAATCTAAATAGAGAGATAGCTAGATCTTTGATGTCTCTACTATAAAGGCTAGCTCAGCAAAATGAATACCAAGGTTTAGTACTCAGTCCTAGTAGCCAGACAGGCAAGAACTTTCAGGTTGGAAGTCTCGGAGGTACCACCAACTAGGCTGTCAGAATGAACTAAAGAAAAGAATATCAGGTCAATCTGATATACCAATGGACTAGTCATAGTCCTACATGGGCTATCTGAATTGAGAGTTTGATAAAAGGGCAAAGGAAAAGGCAGGAGTATACTTATACATGTTGACAAAACCTATGAGATTTGGGATTTGGGATTGAACAAACCTGGACAAATAGGTTTGTCCATCCATGCTTAAAAATACTATATGACAAAACTGGACAAATCCTAATTCCAAATCCTAAATCCCAAACCCTGTCCCAAATTCCAAACCTGTCCCAAATTCCAAACCCTGTCCCAAATTCCAAACCCCATCCCAAATCCCAAACCCATTCCAAATTCCAAACTCTGTCCAAATCCCTAACCCTATCTCAAATTCCAAACCCTGTTTCAAATCCCAAACCCCACCCATTCCAAATCCCAATCCCAAATCCCAAATCCCAAATTCTATTCTATTTTTGTAAAAAGATTTTTATATAACTGATTAGTGTATATTAATTGCTTGAGTAACTTATTTATATACTTTAAAGTATTTTTTGAGAATGTAATATTTCACGAACTAAAAACCAATATGTGCAAAAAAGTGTTAACATAATTAAAAACAATTAATCTGAAGAACTTCACTTGAAAACAAACATTCTACTACTTATTACTATAGTAACTGTATATATAAGTATTAAATGCCTGAAATGATCAACTGAAAAAGACTGAAAAGGATGAACAAGACATAAGTTTTATATGAAAAACTTATTGCTGTTTAATTTATTATGTTAATAAGAATAGATTTTAATACTTTTATATCTTGCATATTAGATTTTATGAAGTTAGTTCGTTAGATCTAACAGCATATGGGCTTTTTTGTGTAGGTCTAAGTGTTTAATATGTTCAGTACTTAGGTTTGAGTTTGTTATTAAATTAGTACTCTTGGGTTACAACATTTAGATTAGAGTAGTCTTTAAATTTGTTTGGTTCTTGTAACATATTTGTGTTTGTCAACTGTAAATTAAAATTTTTGGTTTATTTGGTAGATTATTTAATGAATTCAGATTTATTAATTATAAATAACACATCTACTCACTTTACACATATTTATACATTCTTTAAATATTTGAGATAAATTTTTGTATGCATTTATTGGTTTATAAACTTCTTTATACAAAGTTTTTTTTCATTTTCTAATTGTATTAAAACAAACAATTATATAAATATCTTTTTATGAATTCTATTTCAAAGAATTCATTCCAAAGCTTGGGTTGGATTAATGATAATATTTGTAAAAATGCACAGTCATCATAATGAAATTATGTAGATTTGAATCTACTTAGTTGAAATGAAATTCCAAATGTAATCCAAGCTAACACAAAATCTAAAAGCAACTTAAGTTGTTTCTAAATTAATACTGTAATAAATATGTAATTGATTAATTAATATGATAACAGTTAAAGTAATTTACATTCTGTTATTATAATATATTATCAAAATATCTAAATACATACTTTTTATTATATTATTTTTTATTTCTCAATTCATTTTTTACAACTAAGGGGTTTCAAAATTAAAAAAAAAAATAAAATATTTCAGAAATAAGTGGGAGTTTAGAGAATCTTATTTGTGTATCAAAATTTTTGAAATCAGAAAATGAAATAGGAATGTTTAGAAACACCCATTTAATGGAATAAATAAACTTTTCAATGACAAAAATTATTGAAAAATGAAATGAGTGCTGCCAAGAGAAAACTCACAAATCTTATAATATTTATGGGTTTTCTCTTGGCAGCACTCAAATATAGTTGATACATCTCTCATTTGAAAATAAATATGTTATCCATTTTTGTCAAAATTAGATTCTGTACATTAATTCTGAAACCCCATACTTTTTCAGTTTGATGACGAGTCTTCCGAATATTGTAATAATCTAAAATCACAATTAACAAACATACAAACAAGTATAATGAAGCTTTAATGCATATCAAAATTTCTGACATCAATAAAACCCACAGCATTTTTCTGCATATATATGCTGATAAAACTGATGAAATTCTTGATGAATAGTAGTGAAACTGGTGAACTCTTGATAAATAGTAGTGAAACTGATGAAACACTTGGTGAATAGTGGTGAAACTTGTGAAATTTAATACAACAGCCAATCAGATTTTAGATAGTTACCAGTTTCACTAGTATCTATATTCTTGCAAGACTCTCAAAAGTCTTGAAAAATGAAAATTCAGTGGCATTATTAGAATTGCATGTAATTCTAATTGACTACTTTCATTGGGTCCAGGCAATAGGAGAAAACATCAATGTTATACAACTGATTCTTTACCTGATGTGCAACATATAAAAAAATTATTTTTACAATACTAGATCATTTTGCTAATACATGTTATGATTATAATCCAACACCATTTTTATTATAATAAAATGGTGTTGGATTATAATTATAACTTGTACTAGCAGTATGATCTGGTATTGTAAAATAATTTTTTTATATGTTGCACATCGGGTGAAGGATCAGTTGTGTAACATTGATGTTTCCTCCTGTTGGTCCAAAATTGTAAAGTATTACTTCAATACTCTTAAGCATTCAAAAAGCATCTATAATTCAATCTTCTAATCCTCTTCACAGATAGGTAATATTAAATACAATTGCAAAAATGTGTAATTGTAAATCTAAAAAAGAAATTTGCCTTATAGTAGTAGCTATCATCCTAATAACTATAAATGTAGAAGTTTTTTAATGTTTAATTAGTTTGCATTATGAATAAATGTTAAAGCAACTAAAATTGAAACAATATACTTAATAAAAATAATTTATAATCCACTTAATTTTATTGTAAGTTTGATTTAAATTTTTTAACAAGAGTAACTTATATTTTAGAATTTTTTAACAAAAGTATGTTTTAGAATTTTTTAACAAAAGTATATTTTGGAATTTTTTAACAAAAGTATATTGTAGAATTCTATTACAACTTATACAGAAAATCTAAAAACTATAATTTACGTTAATACTGTACTGTATAAAATAGGGATCTTGAAAATAATGCTATATGATATTATTTTTAAGATCTCTACATATAACAATACTGGTTTAACAGATTTTCCCTAATATCTAAATTGCTTATAAGCTTTAGCCATAGTTGCTATTAAGTATGTACTTATTATTTTTGGCATACATATAATTCTATACAAAAAGACTGTTATTGAGATAAATTAAGAAATTAATTTTTAATACACTGTCAGTTTATACATTATTTCTATATAAGAACATTGAAGCTTTTAAGTTTTTTGCACCATACATAATCACACATTATAAGAACTGCATTTTTGGTGGTTGCCCTGCTAATTTAGTATTCAATATCTAGAATTCTACTCCACTCTAAATTCCAAACTAATAACTATCATTAAAATTAGTGAGACCATAGCAATAGGATTTTATAAACCTATTGTCTTCACAATAACCATAATAGTCATATACTTCCAAGATAGTGGTACAAACCATGGAACCTAAATTAATTTAGTTTTTTTCAAAGCAAATGAACATGCTCTTCAAAAACTTTCTTTTACTGATATAAACATTCAGATGTATACCAGATCCCAAGGTCTATTACAGTAAGGATTTAAAATTGATAAAATATGAAAGGCAGAATTTACAATTTACACTAAACCAATAGTGTACTGTTTAATAATAAGGGCCTTGAAGGTAATGCCATATATGTTTGTATTATCTTTAAGATTTCTATAACAATACTGATTTAATATAAATTGTGGATGCCACCAAAGATGTGGGTCTGGTCTTGGTTATGAGTATGTCATTTACGGCAACAATATCATTACTATTATTCGATGCTTTTGATAGTTATTTCAACTCTTGTTTTAAAAGTGAATATAATTTAAAAGAAAAATAAAATCATTGTATTTAAATCATTTAATTAATAGTCCAATTTTTTTTTACTTAAAAAAAAATAAATCATTTTTCTGGTGTCTGTCTTGTTTTTTATACTTAAATAAAATGAAATACACAGAAGATGTGAATAGTGATGGAATTTCAGATAATTCTGTTTTAGCTAATGAAAATGATGTTTATTTGATTAGTGAAACAGATTCTTTTTTAAATAGCGAAACAGATTCTGTTGCAACAACACAGTCATCAAACAAGGGAGAAAGACCATTAGCAAGTATCTGGAATGAATATAATATGATTAATAATAGATTAGAAAAACTTAAAGGAGCAAGTTGCAAATACTGTTCTGCTTTATGGGCTCGAGGAAGAGCTCAGGAGATGAAAGCTCATCTTGTGATGAAGTGCAAAAGAAAAGTACCAAGAAAAATTCATATTAAAGTACTTAGAGATATTCAGAGTGCAGACAAGCCTACACCATCTGGATCATCTAAATCTACTACTCTAAAAAAAAGAAAACAAGACTATAATCCATTGTCTCTGGATTCCTATTATAATGTGATTAAAGCTATCAATAAAGTTAAAGAAGCAAGAGCAAACAAGTCATTAATCAGATGGATTGTAAGTTTGGGTATTTTATTTTCAGCCTTTGATAATCTGTATTTTGAAGATTATATTAAAATATTAAGTCCTGGATATAATTCACCTAATCATTATATATTAGCATCATCTATTTTAGACGCAGAGGCAGCAAACATTATACTAAAAATAGAAAAGGAACTATCTAAAGCTAAAAATCTTACTTTATATGTAGATAGTTAATGCAGTCTATTAAAACACAGTATATATGCTTTTGTTGTAATGACTAATAAAAGGAAATAGTATGTTTATTCATTACAAAATTGTTCAAAATTCTCCCATACAGTAAAGTTTAATGTTGAAAAAATACTAGAAGTGTTAGAAAAAATCAGCACAGAAAAATTTATAGCAGTAATTACTGATGCTAAATCATCAATGACAACAGCCAAATGACAGGTTGCAATGAGATACCTACACCTTTTGTCTATAAGCTGCATTGCACATCATATCCAACTTATCTCTAATAGTATATGCAAATTGCCATATGCAAAAAAAATTCTAACTAACTGTCAAACTATTATAAGCTTTTTTAAAAATTCTTACATTGCTAGTGCTGCCCTTAGAGAAGAAATTGTATTCTCTTTTACTGTTGATGGAAATTTAAAATCAATGACTAAAACTTGGTGGTCAACAGCATAGGATTTTTGTCAATCTATATTAGACAATGAAACAAACATTAGGTCAGTAAGTCTATAATTCATATTTGTTAGTATATATACTTTATTAGAAATTATATTTTATGTTATCCTGCTTTATGTAGCATAAAATAGTTTTTAAATAATTTTAAAAATAGAAAATATTAATTTTTTTATAATAAGTAACTTTGAAAAATATAGAGGTTGTATCTCATAACTACTCACTTACAAATAACAAACTGGATTATAAACTGGATTACTTATCTTTACCCATATAAAAATATAATTTCAGGTTATTTTGTTTATTTGCTTACTAAATAAAGAATTAAATATTTTAAATTATAGGATAGAATTCAAAAATAGAAATTTTAACAATGAAAATGATTAGTAATTATTGTTATAATTTCCTTTTTTGAATTCTACTGCCATCTATATTTTAAATGATTCTATACAGAAATTATCTAGTTGCTATAGCTGTTGTTTTTTAGCATATTGAGCTCTATTTTTCTAGTGGCTAGATTTTCCCAGAGCGATCTCGATATATTACAGAATTACGATTTAAGTTAAGTTTCTTATTAACAATATAAATTTTTAGTATATGAGAGTACCAATTACTAAATTATCATTATTATTTTTTTTATTATATGGATATCGATCACAGTGTACAATTTTCAGTGTCTGGGTCAAAATCCTGACAATCTGGTCTGCATTAGACATAGTTTTAATTAACTTTTACTAGGATTTTGTTTTTGGGAATTCTGTTTGTCAGAATTTTGACTCAGACCTAAATTTTATATATGAATTAACTAAATTAACCAGTTAAGTATAATTTATTCTGGAATAAATCAATTTTCAAGTTATTGGATACACAGGTACAACCTCTAGTTATAATAGCAATTTTGATTAGTAGCAAAGAATTAAAATCATAGTCTAAACGAATAATAGTTTCTAGAAGATTTAAACAAACTGGTTTCATAAACAGAGTTTTAAATTACTGACTGTTATTAATAAAATATGTTCTTAATTCATTATAAATAAGTTTAATTAGTCATAAGTCAACAAGTAATTATAATAATTATAAAAAAAATTACACTAAGCAGATTTGAACAATTTAAGCAGAATAACATCTCTAATGGCTCAATTAACTTTTTTGTTATATTATCTATTTTATATATTTTACTATAAATTGTACCAATAATTTATTTTTAATAGGTTTTAGAAAAAGAACTTCAAGTTTTTAATTATGCAAGTACTACAAAAGATATAATTAGCGATCATCAATTTTGGATCAATGTTGAGCAGTTGCGAAATGTTCTCAGTCCAGTAAAACAGGCTATAAAAAGTGTAGAGTTTCAAACTACTTTGTTGGTAGATGTATTTATTAAGCTAGTAAAAATGGCTATTTCAATTCAAGACATTTCTATTTTATATAATAGCCAGTTTCATCATGATTGCATTATGATTTACAATAAGGATGAAAAGAATTTGTTATAGAATTATATCTTTTAACATTCTTTTTACACTCAACTTATCACAATATTTCGAATATAACAGATATTTAGTATGCTTTAAATGAGTGCCACAAAGAAAAAACCTGTAAATCCTATAAGATTTTTAAATTTTTTCTTCACAGCACCTAAATAGATATTTAAATTTATTTTTTTTGTTTATTTTATATGGCAGGAAATTTCCTTGAGCATGGTATATACAAAAGTTATATTCTTAAAAAAGAATTGGAAATATGGAAACAATTAGGTGATGGTTGAACAAGTGCCGACCTTCTGAGAACTCAAATGAATTTTTACAAAAATAAAGAAGCTTCTTTTGAAGATAAATTTATTGAGTCTGATGATATATTAATTAATTGGTAGATGTCCATTAAACTTAAAAAGAATGAAGATTACATCAAGACTCTTGCTATACAAATATATTTTATTTTTCCTCATAGTGCAACATGTGAATATACCCTTAGTATACTAGGTTGGTATTTGGGAAAAAGACAGACTAAATATGCATATTTTTTTTTTTAATATATTTATTATAATTTTATATTACAATATTAGCTTAAATTAAATATTATTTTTAGATTAAGCATTGACCAATTGGAGTTAATGGCTCAAATGCATTCATTTTTAGTAGAAAATGCTAAATCTGAACTTAACTATGTAAACCAAAATCTTCGTGATGAGAACTTTTTATTAATGTTTAGTAAAATTGCAAGCTTTATGGAAAATAGCACCAATTTGTTTGATAGTGATTCTGTCTCTTCAGAAAACCTTGTTAAGAATGCAGAGGATGATATAGAAGAGTCTTCTAAGGAAGTAAACAATTCTGTTGGCAAAAATTCATTAAATCTAGAAATTGGAAATTTAATATTATTATCTTCCAAGTTAGAGTCTAATGAATCATTAAGTGAAGATATTGTGCATAAAGATAAAGATTTCGATGTAAATGATTTGATTAATCATTCAGACTAATAATATAAATATTGTCTGAATTGGAAAATAGCCAATTAAGAAATTCGCAAGTTGTAGGTTATTACTGAACCAAATATACCAGTAATGATTCTGAAGTCATATGTATTTTAAAGTTATTATTTGATGGGAACTGGAGCTGAATAATAAATATAAAGCATTTATTTTTTTTTTTTTTTTAGAGTTAAGGTGAGGTCATGCCTCAAGTCTGTTTATTCGAACATATTGTTATAGTTTGTACAACTTTTTACATTATAC